AAATTTACATTTTTAAACCCAAAAAATAATTAAAAACTTAAAAAAAATAATTTACTTCACTTAGCGACTGATGACCTACTTATTATTTTCTTATAGCTTACTTACTGATTACTCAATTACTTACATATTTAATGTAAAAGAAAGGTGCAAATTCCCCTGTCTTATTCAGAACCAAGAAAGAAATGCAAAATAATTTCCCAAGGGAGAGACAGTAAAAGGAGCCATTTACCACTATTTAGGATTTACTGAATTTTTAATCCCTAAAATGCGAAAAATTTGACACAGGTGTCGTTTTTAAGCAAGATTAATTTTCGCGGGGAATAATACAAAATAGAACGTTAAGGAAGGCGTTCGTTAAGACACATTCAAAAGTTATGTCGTCTGCTAACACCGGCTCACATGCACACTTTCAGGGGAACCAGGATCAAATTTTTTTAAATTCTATTTTTTTGATATATATATTTTGGTTTAATTATTTTTGGACGTGTTAAAAACATGTATTTCGTAAGGATGATTGATTTTAAGATTTTTAATTATCAGGCTACATAGATCGCTCAGGAATGATTTAAACACTTTTTTATTATTATGTAATTTAATTTTTTTTTTGTAAGTATTTAAATTTTAAAAGCAAGATTATAAAATTTCCCCACAAGAATAATTTAATTATATAAATACAAATTAAAATAAATAGGAATTAAATTTACAAGAGAAAAGTGAAAAAAATTACATTATTGAAGTTTTAATGCGGGAAAAATTTTAGGGCTTTTAAAAACTCCATTATGTTGATAAAGCCCAAAAAACCCCTGGGTGTTAGTGGACTGGTTTTGGGTCGCATCCTGGGGTTAGTGGGGGCTGTGTGGGTCGCTCCGGGTGTTGTGGATGGGGTTGGGTAGCATCTGGGACAAAATACCAATTTGCCCAAAATATCCCATAAAAGCGGGTTTCTATACAGTATATGTCATTGATGTCCCTATGGTCTTATACCGTACATGTTTTTTGTCATATTATTATTTTAAATATTTTTTTATTATTTTTTATTATTTTTTTATTATTTTTTTTTTTAATATTATTATTATTATTATTATTATTTCAAGTCCATTGCTTTTGCATAGAAAGGTTTCTTCATTACACCTAAATCCACCTATCACTTACACACTGTTCATAAATTGAATTATAGGTAAAAAAATTAATTTTTGGGTGAAGAGGCGGGATTTTTTTTTTTTAGGCCTTGAAAATTTTATTTTTTCTTTTTTAACTATACGGGAAAATTTACAACTATGCATTGATGGCCTCCGTTTAAATTGGTGTTTCACACTTTTAAATTTTCCAAAAAAGACTTTTTGTTGTCTACCATATCCAATAAGTCAATCAGTTACACAAATTGTTTAATGACCTATTGCACTTTCAAGAAATAAAGTTTTTTTTTTATTTTTCAAGCGTGCCATGTCCGTGCGTGCGCCCTTTCGTGTGTGTATGGGGGCGCGGCGCTGTGTGGGTGTATGATCCCCTTAAAAATTTTTATTTATAACCATTACAATTGTGAAAACCGGTGGGACTATCAGTGGTTTATTTCTTTGTAAATTTTTTTCATGAATGTAACCATTTTATAGGAGTGAAGTGATTCATTACCTCTGTAATTGCCATGTTGTGACCAGATCTATGGAGTTATTACCTTTTTAATAGTTCAGCTATCATTTCTTTGGGGTCCAGTCATGACCTTATGTACCTTTGTAATTTTTTTGACTACCGCCCACAGGATGGGTATGGGGGGATAATAAAGATATTAAACTAATGTTTTTGGGTGTGTGTGGTGTGTGTGTGTGTGGTGTGTGTGTGTTTTTGTGTGTGTGTTGGTGGTGTGTGGTGTGGTGTTGGTGTTGTGTGTGTTGTGTTTCAAAAAACAATATTTGCACCAATAACTCACTCCATTGGGGACCGGGTGTGGAAATGTGAAATTTCTCATTACTCTATAATTTTTTCATGTTGTAGCCATGTATAAACGTAAGTAACCCAATTTTACAGATTCATTACCTTTATAACTTGTGAGTCATTCCTTTGTCCCCAGTTAGCTATCAAAACTTTGGGGGGCCCCCGTCCCCCGGACCCCTTTCCACCCCTGTAATCGTAAAAAACCTTTTTAATTGTCATGATTTGACCAGACCTACCTGGAGTTCATTACCCCTTTTAAATTGTGAGTTTATTACCCTTTTTAAATTGTGAGTTCATTTCCTTTGTAAATTGGGGAGTTCAT